AGGAAGAGGATCCAGTTTATTACCGCGGACCTTTCACCGTCGTAGCTGTCGAGGCCTTCTTGCAGGATGCAACCCAGCCGCTGATTCGCGAATACGATCCCATCATTCATGAAGAAGCAACAAAGGTAGGTCCCTCTTCGCTTTGCTGAATGTTTGATGGTGACTAACCATTCAAGGATGAGAAACCATTGGCCCAGATATTCTTCAGCAAGCGGGATGATCGGGCTGAGATCGTCAAGTCACTGGCTTCTCTTGCAAAGAAGTACAAAGATCAACTCACCTTCTTGACGGTGTTTGCGCCAGATTACCCCAAAAGATGTGAGCAAATGCATCTTAGCAAGGACATCAAGCGTGGTTTCTCCATTGCAAATCAACAAGGGAGAGCATATCCTATGTCTGAAAAGGTGTTCAACGTCAACAGGGTCGCTAAACATGTTTTGGCTTACCTGGATGGTTCATTGATACCTACCATCAAGTCAGAACCGGTGCCGGAGGCGTCGACAACGCACCAATTTTTGACCACGCTAGTTGGCAGTACTTTTGACGACCTAGCTTATGACAAGTCTAAAGATGTCTTGGTTGAGTTCTACGTGCCGTGGTGTCAATACTGTACTGAGTAAGTTGATCATATCTGTACGCCATCCAATGCAGTACTAACAAGCCGAACAGTCTGCATACTCCAATGAATGAGCTCGGGTTCAAATACACCAAGTTTGGCCTGTCGGACAAAGTCGCGCTGGCAAGTATTGATGTCGACGCGAACGATGTGCCAATCGAGATAGCATCATATCCATCAATCAGGCTATATCGCGCCGGTTCGAATGACGTTGTACCTTTCCAGGGCAACTTCACTAACATGTTGACAGTGGAACAGCTGGATGCTTTTGTTTCACAGAGTGGAAGTCATGGAGTAAGTGTAATCAGTCAGAGCAAAGCCCATGACGAGCTGTAGTATCCAGATAGAGACTTCTACCGAGCAGCTCATACGCAAAAGTTCAGCATGATCTCTCACTTATGGACTTTTCAATCCTTTATGTGAATTTTACTACCTTGTGGCTGACCACCGGTTACCTAATGCTGCAAAACTTATATCACAGCGGTCAGCTGAGTGGCTGTGCCAGGCCACACCATGTGTCATTCAATGAAGGGTTTCACCATCTTCCCCACGAGCGTAATCAGATGAATGGTTGCTGCATAGCTCTAACGAATCTAAACTCTCCATTCCCTTCATCTTGTCTTCAAGTTCTTTAATATGGCTTTTAAGACCCAAGGCTGGGTCCAAGTCCTCCAATTGTCACTCCAAAGGTCGTTGTCATAGCTTCAAAGCTCCAACAGTATTACTGAAAACCCGTTCATTGCGGAATCGGGTACTATCCCAACTTCTTATAACCTCATGAAACTCACGTAGTTTGTTAAATGTAGCCAAATGACCATACACGGAGTTTCGCAATTAGTCTTCTACCATTCATCTTGTTCATGTCTCTAGTGAAGTTGCAGTCCCAAGTCTCTTCAGCTCCTCGGCCAAACTAATCCTTTTCGATTCTGTGAACACCCACACAGACAACCAACTCCCATGGACCGAGTTGTTTTCGCAACAGCTATTCCTGATTTTCAGATACGGAACCCATTAATCTCTTTGGAAACCTCCCCATCGCTCAAACCCTCCCGTATCTAGGTTAAACAGATCGAGCATTCGCCCAACACTATGCTCAACGATATCGTCCACCGTCGCCGGCCGTTGATAGAACGCGGGCACCGGCGGAAAGATAACGACCCCGTTCCGTGCCAGAGAGAGCATATTGTCGAGGTGAATTCCGCTCAGGGGACACTCCCGTGCGGCGAGTACAAGCGTTCGGCGCTCTTTAATCACCACGTCCGCCGCGCGGGCGACAAGCGAGTCGCATAACCCCGCGCGTATTGCAGCGAGCGTTCGCATACTACAAGGCACCACGATCATACCGTCGACTCGGAACGACCCGCTCGCGATTGGGGCGGCCATGTCGCTGTTGTTGTGGACGTGATCCGCGAGGGCGCGGACGGCCGCCGGGGTGTAGTCTGTCTCGTGTTTGAGGGTGCTCTCAGCCCACTTGGTCATGATGAGGTGTGTTTCGACATTAAGCCGCCGGAGGGCGATGAGGGTCTTGATTCCAAGGATAGCTCCAGTTGCGCCTGTGAGAGCAACGATAATGCGCTTTCGTTGTGAGGTAGTCATGCCTTCTATCGTCATTTATATGGCTACGTTTGTGATGGAAAGAGGCAATATGAGAACCGCCCAAAAATATATGTTTGCATAGGGACACGACATGCAAGTCCCTAGGTCAACTCTCACAGCCAAAATCGTCTAGAGCCAAAATCACCAGATTTGATGTTTGTCTTTTAATCCTACAACATCAGGTTTGTTTAGGGCTTAGAGCCATCTACCGTGAAATCACACACAGTAAGTTTTCCACGGTTCATTCGACACGGAGAACCGAACGCGCGAATCTTCAACAGCATCGGCGGTCAGGTATAGTTCCGCTCCGCGCCGGGGCCGACAGTGTCTTAAAGACGTAACAGTAACGTAAAAACGACGACTAGGCCTCTGAATTAGTGGGGAAAAGATGGAAATAGTGGCGGATATAAGAAGCGGCTATACTATAAGGAACGGGTTTTGTTCGATTTAGTGTGAATCGGCGGAGACACCATGTCTGACGCCGAAGATGTTGTGGATCTCGTAACGGATGACCTTCCGGTCGACGCTACGGGAGCTGAGCCGGTTCTTACGCGATTAACTCGGTAGACGATAGATTGAGAGAATGTGTACTGGCCCTGAGGACCTAGTGGCGGCCCATACAATCACCCAAACCCTCTACATTGGGACCCGGCGTTCTGTGAAGCTCAAAGTACATTGAGCCCTATTGACATAATATACGCTCAACCTAAGCCATTTCTGCTGGTGCTCTGAATGGTCCATATTTTCATTAGGCCAGGAAGTTTCCAGGGTGCATGTGGGCTTTGTTCAAGCGGTGACTTATAAATGCCCTCGGGTACCGTGTGATTGAAGAACCAAAATTGTCGTTCAACTCGACACCTCATCCCCTTAAACATCATTTCCTACTTGAGTCAGAACAAATGGCAATGAACTTAGCGACTGAGAACACAAAATCATCCGCGGCCAGCTTCCGCACCTTCATCGAAGAGTTGGCCGAAGAGAACGACCTACTAAGCATCACTAAAGAGGTCGATCCTCATCTAGAGCTAGCAGCCATCACACGAAAGGTTTACGAAACCAGAGACAAGGCCCCCTTCTTTCAATGCGTCAAGGGTCGCACCGAAGATGGCCTCTTTCGTGTTCTTGGGGCACCAGTCGGAGCGAGCAAGCTTCCTGGCAAGTGTTTCATCCGCATCGCGAAGTCGTTGGGGCTACCGTCTACATCGAGTGGACGAGACATAATCGAAGCAATCAACCAAGCAAAAAGGCTCCAACCCATCCCTCCAACCGAGTTCGAAACTGGCCCGGTAAAAGAGTTCAAGATCGCTGGAGATCATATTGACCTCGAAAGCCTTCCCATCCCCATGTTACATGAGGCTGACGGCGGCCGTTATCTCCAGACCTTTGGCATGTTCATTGTGCAAAGCCCCGACGGGGCGTGGGTTAACTGGTCTATTACCCGCGGCATGGTTAATGGCAAACGGACCATGGTCTGCCCGACAATGTCCGCGCAAGACATCGGACGCATTCGCAATATGTGGCTGGAAAGGGGCGAGGATATGCCCTTTGCCTTATGTTTCGGGGTTCCGCCTGCCGCCATCATGGTGAGCGGGATGCCAATTCCGAAGGGTGTGAATGAGAGCGGTTTCGTGGGCGCCCTTATCGGCAAGCCAGTGGAGGTCACTAAGTGTGAGACCAGCGAGATTCGGATTCCCCGCGATACCGAGCTGGTTCTGGAAGGTCTTGTCTCCGCAACGGAGACGGCGAATGAGGGACCTTTTGTCGAATACCATGGTCATGCCTTCCAAGGCGTGGCTAAACCTGCCCCCGTCTTCCGAGTTGATGCCATCACATACCGGAAAGATCCCATTGTGCCAATTTGCGTCACGGGGCGGGCAGCGGAGGAGAGCGAAACAGTATGGGCTCTGACTCAGGCGGCCGAGGTGCTCAACATTTGCCAAGCCGCCGGCCTCCCTATCAAGATGGTCTGGAGCCCGTTTGAATCTCACTGTCTCTGGTTCGCTCTGCAGGTAGACTGGGTCGCGCTTCGTGCCCTACGGACCGATATGGAGGAATTCTGTAAGAAGGTAGGCACAATCGTCTTCGCCTCGAAGCCAGGCTTCTACATTCCCAAAGTGTACCTGGTCGGAGAGGACATCGACCCAACGGATCTCAACGACGTGATCTGGGCCGAGGCCACCAGGTGCCAGCCTGAGGTGAATGAATTTTTCTTCGACGACTATGGAAACATCCCGTTGATTCCGTATGTCAGTCGGGGGTTCAGGAAGGGGAGAAATCATGTCAAGGTTGTACGATGTTGCATGTTCCCTGAAGAGTTCACAGAAGCTAAAGAGAATTGGAAATCGGCGTCTTTCCGAGGTTCGTACCCCCAAGACATCCAGGATAAGGTCGACAGCCAGTGGACATCCTATGGGTTTTAATCCCTTCCAAGTACTGGGAGCAAATCATGTCAAAGTGGACTTATTGAAGGATTACACAGGGTTAGTAAGTCAACATAAAAATTAGTACGTGATTCCATTCTCTGCCTTTGAATTGATTACTGAGTGTCCAATTTTTCGTTGTATAATGATGGCTTCACTCCTCTATCTTGCGCAAACGTGGATTTATGATTTATGTAATGCAGATCTCCAGCTTGATACTAACGAGTTGCTCAGGACAAACTAATGACAACTTGATTTGTTGACTGGCTCTTGACAGATCTAGTACTATGCATGTAAAAGGAATGAAGCGGCAAGACACTGATTAAAAGAGTGAAAGTAAAGGAAAGGAGCCCTGGACATGTATTCTCCTAGCGGGTTTTGGGCACCCATACCAACCGTCCAGCACTTTGAACTAGGTATAGAGACACACCAAGAGTCACCACTAAGAGCGTCCCGGTATTCCAACCAAACAAGGAGTACCTAGAAGAAATTGCAGGCAACTCGTCATTGTAAGGCGTCGTATGGGGTCTTTCCGGTGCGGGGAGCTTCTCTATATGTGGACCAGCAAGAGACTGCTTGAGAATTTCTTTGAAGAAGAGGTCATCCCCGAGCCAGGGTAAGACGTAATGTATAATAAGCCCTGAAAACGGCGGCTGTTGGCAGAGGAATGCGCCATCTCGACGACCCTTCTTCATCATGCTGGAGGCCCGTTCATATCGAATCGCGCATACTTCACTTAGCGCCTTTTCGATGAATTCAGGTTGGAGGTCTGGAGAGGTTGGAATCTCGCTACGCGTGAGGGCGTTGACAAGATTCGCTGCCGCCTCAATCGCACCGTTTCCTCCTTGAGCTGAGATCGGATGAACCTGGATGGTGATATTAGCACACCTATCCACCTCTGTAGTCTATGTAGTCCTGGGTCCGTGGGTTACGGCAGTACCTTGGTTGCCGCATCACCAATGATAAGAATCCTCTGGAAATGCCATCGCCTGAACACATGTTCCTCCAACGGGACCAAGGTAGACTTGATACGGTTGTCGTAGAGATCCCCGAACGTCAGTTCTTCTGTGATGTGATCATGTCGATGTTGTGTCGACAGCAAGAACTCATCCTCCTTAGAGAATTTAGGAATGTCTTTTCCGAATTTTGTCTCTCCTAATTCGTGGAACAGGAACCAATACACCCGGTCTCCCGGTGCGGATATGACCAGGTATAGATGGCCTCGGAAGAACGTGCTCTGCTGAGTAGCACCAGGCGGGAAGTTTACTGGTTGCTTAGAAATTCCGAAGATGCACTTCATGCTCGATTGTACGACTATGCATAACGGTTAGTATATCTCTCTTCGCCAACACTACGTCAGTGCAACGTTGTGGAAATCCTTATATACTTACTTGATCTCTCTGACTGGGGAAACGCAATTGGATCAGAGACACTAGCTATCCGCCACATCTCTTCTCGTACCTTACTATGAACTCCATCACCGCCGACCAGGATATCGCCGGTATGTGTCGATCCATCCTCCGTGGTGACCAAAACTCCTGTAGAGCTGGTTTCCACGTGGACTACACGCTTGCTCGTAAGGACTTTGTCCTTTTGTTTCAAGTTGTCGTACAGGATTTGAAGTAACATCTGTCTATCTAACCATAAAGACGCGTATCCGGCGCTTTCTTGGTTAGTGTCATGGACATCAACTCTTGAAAGAATTCAACCGACTGTTTCTCCATTCTTTCTGAAATAGTAGGTCCAGGAGCTGATGAGTTTGGTTTCCCATTCGCATCGCGGAAGGTCACCCTGTGGTAGTAGTTTCCAGCAGCCTCTCGGAGTCGCTCATAGCAGCCTAGTTGATCCAGGATGCGCAGGCCGTTGGGAAGTAAGCCGATGCTAGCTCCGACTTGGGGCGCAATCTCAGGATACGCTTCGAGAATCGTGTATTCGATGTCGAATCTCTCCAGCATATTGGCAAGAGAAAGGCCAGCGACACTGCCGCCTACAATGACGATTTTGATACCCATGGCGTCGGGTTCGAACAACAGAGCATGGAATGATTACTGGATAATATGGAAGAATGGAAGGTCGACTTGGACTGCAAATATAGATTTCCTGTGATCTCTTTCGCTTCGAGCAGTTCTGCCTTGATCTATGTCTTTTGCAGCTGGCGACATTTCGGATCTTGGCAAATTCCGCCCCGCCGGCTGTTCGGTATCACGGAATCTTGACCTTATATTCCCCGTTATCCACCGGTAACAGAGCCCAGTATGTAGCAGCTCGTATCGCTACTTCTCCAGCTAACTTGGCTCATTGCCGTCTCCTTCACCCAGTGTCTCCACAGCGAGTTTTTGAGTTGTCATTATAAGGACACCGGGAGGAGCCGAATTTCCGATCTTCAGGATAAAGCGGTAGTGGCCGACAGGTTAGGGCATAATACGACCCTGGGAAATGTTTTCCTTGTGTGATAATCAAGCTCGCGCTTGCGGAAGCTTTTATCAGAAACCTATTCTACTGCATTAATGGACCTTCAAACATGTCCTGAATGTTTTCGTTCATGGATGACGCCGCCTTTTATGCACATCGCGGTCGTTATTCGGCGCATAGATAAAAGCCTCACTCACAGCAACAATTTTAGGATCACCGGAGTGCAAACGTAATTTAACTCTGTCGATGCCTTATTCGCGAATTCTTGCCACGTTGCTTTTCGAACTTCTCCGTATCGTGACAGAAGCGGACCGGCCTCTTCTTCGAGGATCAGAATTCTCGGAAGGCAGTTCCCAGGTGCTGCAGAGTCTAGGAATCTAGTTGTCAGACCAAGTCCGCCAATTGGGTTGTTGAACTTTAAAAGATGAACAAAGTCATCTCATTCTGAAACGCGCGGCATTGAACATGACTTACATGCGCAGCATCACCACAGAGAACAATCCTCTCAGTATGGAAAGGCTTGGCGCACCTTTGATGGGCCCAATAGGGATTTGCATTCACCAGATCGTACTCCAAGGGTCTAGGTCCTGGAAGTAGACGCTCGTCCTCCTCATGGAGTTGCTTGATGATGTCTGTCTGGGTCCACGATCTCGTCCCCACTCGTTCCCCTCATCGGGGGACTTCTATGTACGGGCCATGTTGCTCATATTGAGTGTTCTGTAAGGTAGTTGTCAGTTGGACTTCTGACTAAGTGTCAATTGAATTGTCTTTTGTAAAAGGTAGAGTACTCAGTTCGGCACCTTTCGTCGTACCAAATACCTCCAAGTCAGTTACATTCCCAACAAGTCAGAGTTCATGACAATGTAAATTCTGTTTGAGGCCCCACATCCACGATGCGGGCACATCCAATGCTTCTGGCCCGTATATTGGCTATTTGTTCGAAGAGAAAAAAAGGAATGATATGCTACCCCAGATGTTCCATTAGCTGTAATCCCTTAGGTGCATTAATAATTCTGTAGCACATTATCCCTTTGCACTCAGGCGCCCGGCTCATGACGACGGTCCTCCTTCTCAACATGACGCAACACTCCACTTGGTTTGACTGGCTAAGCGTGAAACGAGAGATGGATGTCATGCCCACGATATTATCTTGCATTTCTGCCAGAGCTATGGCTATTATTGCTACTTTATTCTACAGACTTATTTTGCATCCTCTCTCCCATCTGCCTGGCCCTCTGCCAGCCAGATTAACAGGTCTCTGGCGCACCACAAAATACATTCAAGGCGACTGGCACGATGACATACTCTCCATCCATGACAAATACGGAAGAGTGGTACGAATTGCACCAAACGAAGTTTCTGTAGTGGACGAGTACGCCATGAAAAACTTGTACGGCCACGGTCACAATGCCGCCAAAACAGATTGGTACTCCATTTGGGACTCTCCCATTACAGCACCTCAATCATTCTCGGAATTGGACCAGAAGCAGCATAGCTTTCTTAGAAAGCACCTGGCGAGTGCTTACTCAATGTCTTCAGTCCTCAACTGCGAGGTCCATATTCAGGCCTGCCTCGATTTACTGATCCGAAAGCTCGAGAAATACACCCAAGCTGGTGAAACTGTTGACATGGCTGTACGGACTAATGCGTTTGCATTTGATGTAGTTGGTGAACTCGACTATGGTTCCCAATTTGGCCATCTTCAGGAAGAAAAGGACGTAGGTCAACTTCGAAAAACCATATTCGATATTTTCAAGCTCTTGTCATCCGTCGGCCACCTCCCGCGGTGGTTATAGCTTGTCACAAGTCGTGGCGCTCAAATGATTACTGGGTTCTTCAACGCAGACCAACCCCTAGTAGCTTTCCGCAATTGGTCCGCGATGAGACTCCAGAAACGTCTAGACGACCCTAAGATGACCGGACGAGAAGACCTTCTGGCTTATTTCTGCCGAATGAAGGACCTCGAAGGCAAGCTAGCTTCCTTTGTTGAAATCTTGGTGGAGGCGATGAATTTAGTGTAAGTTCGACCTCCTCGTCATAACGCATAGCTACTAAGAGAAAGTCCAGTGGGGCAAGAGCAGACACAATCTCTATTAGCATGCGAACCTGCCTCTTTTACTTGGCAGCAAATTCAGGAGTGCTGGCTAAGCTGAGAGAGGAAATTGACAACTTTTACAATGTAAATACTTTGAAAGCACCCATTTCTCACCTGGAAACTCAAAAGCTGCCCTATCTGCAAGCAGTTATCAAGGAGGCCATTCGACTACTACCGTCCATCGTCTTTCAGCTCCCACGACACACACCACCTGACTTTAAGGTAAGGGGTATCAAGATCCCGGTGAACACAATGATTGGAATCAGCCCCATAGCCCAAAATCGCGATCAGGAAATATGGGGTTCAGATGCGAACGAGTTCCCCCCGGGCCGATGGCTCGAAAACGAAGACAAGACAAGATACTTTGATCGTAGTACGATGACATTTGGCGGTAGCGGGCCAAGAATGTGTATGGGAAGGAACATTGCGCCGGTAAGTCGGATAGGACCACGAGCTTTGAGTGGAAGTCAAACTGACCAGGTATGGTTTCTATAGGTGGAGCTGCACAAGTTCGTGGCTCAGTTCGTACACATCTTCGACTTCAAGCTTGTCAATACGGATGCTCCATGGAGAATCAAGGCGTACTGTACCGCGTATCAGAGCGAAGTTTTCAGGAATATAAGCCGACGGAAATAAAGTCTTCAGCAGATCGCATCATCGATTGATGCCCGAGAATGGAAGGCGTGGATGTTCTGCTTGTCCAACTATAGTTTACTTGATAACTACTCCCAGCATACATTACGACATTGTTTGTTGCTTTGATTGTTTAACGCCTGTCCCACCCGTTAGGGTCAGGGCGTCTTCGTCGGTTGTCGAGTACTGTATACGTTAAAATAGTGCCACTGCTCTGTCTATTTCCATGTGCTTCCTAACCCATTTACCTTGACGCTCACTCTCATGCTATTAGGTAGGTCTGTGGTACTCAACACAAAGCGCGACAACGGCTGAGTCGTAAAGAACGTGCTAGTCGCGCTATCGAGGCCACCGTTTATAAAGACCTCAAGAATCGACCTATCAATCACTCCACTGAGACTCCACGAGTTTTGTTCTGTTGTCAAACTACTAATGGACGTTCTTTCTGTGAAAAAGATATTCTCGAAGCCCCGGGCGCCATTCCGGTTGACAAAAAACACGGGATCCCCGCCGAAGAAGTATCCGCCGTTGATGTACTCGCCGGTAGCAGGACTCGAGAACGTAAAGTTCAAAGAAGCAGTTGCTGAGATATCTTTCTCTGGAATGCCTGTCACATTGACCTCCCAGTGAATCGCGTTGGATGCCACATCGGCATAGTCCACGATCAGTGTCCCGTTACCCATGCTGTGGTTGGAAGCCAGTTCACGACCCAGCACAGGCTCCAAATTGTACGGGGCCGAGACCAACTTCCATCCCACTCGCTTCGCCTTAGTCAGATAGTTCTGACGCGGAAGACTCATGATGCTTCTCCAGCCTTCCTTGTCAGTCGGAACCGTTTGAGCATATTGCCAATTGGATGCCCATGCGATTGACACCGGGAATTCCTCGGCCGGGACGCCGTAGAACCATTGCCCGGCATAGTTATCCTTTCCAAAGTCTGCAATTCTCGCAGCCGCGTCAACAGCCTCAAAGTGAGTGCCGTTGAAAGTGCCAGGATGATACTCCGTTATAGAACCTCCTAGAGGCGCACCTGGGTTTATGCTGATGGCCATAAGCCACATGTCGTCCTGCCTCTTGCCCTCTGCGTCTATGTAAGGCATAGAAATCAGGTTTGGGCACTCATACTGCAGACCGAGAAGCCCATGATGGGAGAAGTTGCTAGTTGGTGTCCAATCTTTCAGATTGGGTGACGTGAAGATACCGATGGCAAAGTCATGTGGATAAGCAACCACCATGACCCACGAGCCGTTATAACGGACGACTTTGGGATCGCGGAATTGCGCACTTGTACTATTGATGACGGGGTTGTTTGCATATGGAGTGAAGGTGTACCCTCCATCTCTGGAATAAGCGATACCCTGAGTCTGCAGCGTCGGCGATGCCAGAGTCTTGTTAAATTAGCCACAGTGGTATCGAAAGCTCAATTGGTGTAAACTCACATAGATTGCAACCACGCCGTTGTCTTGGTCTGGGAAGAAGCCGGATGTATTGTTCACATCAACAACAGCACTTCCAGAGTAGATGAAGACATCTTCTTCGGGGGGGAAGAGAGCTATGGGCTGATTTGACCAATGGTATAAGTCTTTGGACGTTGCATGTCCCCAATGCTGGTTGCCTGCAACAACGCCCGTAGGATTGTACTGGTAATACAAATGCCAAACGCCATCGGCGTCTCGGAACATGCCATTGGGGTCGTTCATGAAATTTTGAGGGGGAGAAAAGTGCACTTGAGGGCGGTACGCGCCATTGTAATCGCCAACGATGGGTGTCCCAGTTGGAACATGGACAGGTTGAGAAGAAATGGTTGATTGGCCAAGTGTATGCCGGGTGAACTGGGCGACACCGACAAGGGTCGTCAAGAAGGCACTGCGAATCGCCATGGTATCTATTGTACTAGAAAAGGAGGCATCCGATAATATGACATTTGCTATCACCATAGGGAGCTACCAACGCGATTTATATACAAAAGCCTAATCGCCGAGAGACCGCTTTTACGAGAGTTGTGTCCACTTAAGGCCACGAGCCTAAATGCTTCTCCACAAGAAAAGATGCTTTACCCCACGGAGAACAGGTCGCAAGGCATTCCCAGCGTCGTCTTGACTCGCCCTCCCCGCGATTTTAGTCATGGGGAAATGGCGGAGGAAGCTATCCTTGAAGGAGTGGACAAACGTTAGCGTACTGGTACGACATAGCCAAGGTAAATTTGGGCACTGAGGTAAAAGTTGGCGGGGCTCCGTGCGGTTTAGTGAATAAATTGAGTGTTCATCGGGCCGACGATCGAGAAACGTGTTTGTGATATCCACTTCGGGGAAAATTTCGCCTTGGCTAATGGGCTAGAGGAAGACAAGAGGGCGCACGGAGAAGTCCTCGCTGAAACTTCTTGATTTCTCCTCACCTAACGTACGAGAGAGAGGAGCATCCCACCCGGAAGCTAAGATCAAGAGGGATGACTGAGCTCCGCCTTGGAGGTTGCTCTTCAGATCATCTATAATACGACGAGTCTCACCTTTTCCGGTAATCCGAAGGTACCATAGCACATGGCACAACAAGTTTTCCAGTCTGTTAAAGGGTAGGACAGGGCGGTATGCAGGTCAACCTAACAATGGATGGTACATGCATTAATCACAGCAGGATTCAGTGTCGGAACACTCCAAGAGCGTTGATGTCTAGGTTAGTCCGCTTTATCGCCAATGATTGAAGTGCTGTCATGCCTGTATGGAATGGTTGCAAGATGTCTCAGACGTATCTCGTACATAGTGACTTGCATCTGTATGTTGGATACCCTACTCCGTAGAATCGTACTTAGATAATACACACTACACTCTCTTTCTCTCGTATCCACCCCTATTCTGGTGGCAGCTGCGAACCTCGTAAGTTCTTCTTCCACAATCTATTTCGCCTCCTACCAGACCCAGTAGATTCTTGCAATATCAAATATGAAGCCTCTTTCTTCTTCGGCCCTGCGTGGGTTGTGCGGCACTCAAATTTCCGGCCAGAAAGGGTCTCCAAGTTTAAAGACGGTCTCTATATTCAGGAATCGTTCAAACGAAGACGTAAACTAGAAAAACTACGATCAGATCACGACGGTTTAGAGAAATGTAAGGGTTGAGAAACAAGTGGCTGAAATGACCCTATAAAGGCTATGATTTGTGTTCTCCAATTCTTCGATGAGATCAAGTTTCAGCTTGTCTTAGATGCTGTGAACTGTGGATTATTAGACCCGGAGGATGCTTCCAAAGGTCAAAGATGAACGCATTTCTTAGGGATTTCAGTTGGATTAATAGTTAGCAACATCGAGCTCGCATAATTCTGCTAAGAACTAAACTTAGGTTTGCTTGACACCATAGTCTAGAATCACCTTGTCGCCTAGTCATTCCTTGCGATCAAAACCTAACGCTATATGCTGGGGCATGCATCTCTCTATGTAGGCACTGATCATGTACAGAAGATGCGTCGAGTGCGATTATTAGCTAAAGGAAGCACAAACCTAGAGAAGTAGATGGGCCCATGTACCGTAGTCCAAATGCCGAGATAAACCGAACTCAGTTTGCAGCATACAGGTATCATCGATATTGTAGACTGAGTTAGCTCTACCTCATGGCGCTATTGAGAAATGACCGCGGCGTTCGAGAAGCATATTATTTCAAATATCAATTCTTTGTTTGTTTGATCAATTGAATCAAACTATGTATTAGTAAATATTACTGCCTAGTTCTTAAGCCGTTGACTACCACAAACCTGGCCTTTCAGGTCGATTTCCTCAAACATTGGGGTCAGCGGCCCCAAACCCCCGAAGCCCGCTGTAGTATGGAATTTAGTCCAAAAGCACCTGAGATAGACACCAAAGACTTGATCAAGAGTCTGCTGAAAATGATTCAGCGTTCTAAGTCCTTTGTTCAAAGAGACAATATTAGAGGCGTCGTCAGGGGCTGCGAGAGGACCAATGTCGCACCTCTACGTAACCTATCCCATCCGTCGAGGCATAACGTCAATACAAGCATCTCCATTTTTTCTCCAATTTCACAAAATTCCTTGAAGATGCACTCGTGGGGATAATGGAAATATGATCGGATTATCGTATAATTCGCTAGTACCCCTCACAAAGATACGTATCTATGTACTGACATCATGCCGCGACAGATAGGATAGATCTTGCAATCACAGTGTTAAAGAGCTAAAATTATATCGTTAGGCCGATCAGGCCGACAAATGTGCGAATGGTAAGGAACTGCTCTATATCGATACCAGTGTCTACAATGTTTTTGACGCTGGTCTGTATGTACAGAAGGTTCAGTATAAGTAAGGCAACGCTTATTGCCCATATGACTGGAAGAAGAGAAGCATCGAAGACTGTGGATTCACATTGAAAGGAGCTCTATATTGCAGTCCCAGGAGTTGAAGAGACCCAAGAAAGCCGCAAGGGCAATATGTATTGGCGCCTTCGAAGCCATCGATACCCATCCCAGAATTTAGGATCTGGATGAACGGAAGGGTCCCACATAGAATGCGCAGAAACTCCCATCTTGAATCCCGCGGGAAGGATTGAGCCATCGGGAAGCGTAATGTCGTTCAAGGCCAGCCTGCTCATGCTCACCACGTTCGGTGGCTTTATGCGTTGGCTTTCCTTGATCACGCTGTCCATCAGTCTCAGCTTATAGAGCGCTGTCTTCTCCCATGCGTCCTGGCTGATAATCATGACAATCTCCTAGCGGAGGGCTGGGATAATCTGTGGATGGCCAATGATATCGAATAGGGTCTGAGCGAAGAGGTCGGTTGTGGTATGGACAGCAGCCATGGCGAGGGCAATTTGTGCCCGGCCTACGTCATAGCTCTGACCCTTGGCCATCTAGGTGTTCGAAACATTCGACCGCATCATTTCGTAACTCCGGCTTCAAGCCCCTAGCAAGTCGTTGTTGATCTTCCAGTTGGCGCGCCTTTAAAATATCATTGATGATATTTCGTGTCGTATGTCCTCGTGCGCGTGCAGTCTTGCACTCTGGCAAAAACCAATGGACAATGTGACGAAATCCAGGAGGGTATTTCCGGAGCCAACACAAGCCATGAAGCTGTTCACGGTGAATTCCTTGGTAATGTTGAGCCAGGCCGGGTTGCGGCAGCCCACGTCGCCAAGAAACACACGAGATGATATTCGCGCAACAAGTTTTAAGAGTGCGGACTTCAGTACAGCCTCATTCTGTTCTGCAGTGTGTCGGTTGCATTACTCAAGCGATGCCGGGCCATTCCACATTTTTAAAGCCACTTTACCTTTGGATTCCCCGAAGATCTCTCGGCATGCTTGATCGCACTCGTCAGCTAGAGGTACAGTTACCTTCTCTAAGAAATGTGTCAGGACATATTGAGTCATGTAAATTTCAGAACACCAGATAGTCCACGGACCGAGATATTGTGTGATCTTGACTCTGGTAACGTCAGTGACCAGGGAATTCAGGAATGCCGTCTTTAATAGCTCAAACTCAGGAACGTCTGAAAGAAATTGCTGCAAGGTCCGTAAGTGAACCAGCCAGTTACCGAACAGATGCGATTGCCCAAACCTGGTTGACAAATTCCATGAAATCGAGGTCGGCTTCGTTGCGAATGCCAACGACAAATTCTGGGGAATGATAACCGTCTCGCCTATATCGGCGATAATTCGAAAAGGGGTAGTAATGCCGACCTGCATGAATGAGTGAAAGTCAAGTTGAGACGGAACTTACGAGCCACTTGCCTTAGCAAAACCGTCTTTGATGAGTTTGACTGAGTCAAATACGAATTGTCTTCTGGCCTTCAATTACCAATGTCGAAGATGGAGGTAGAGACGGCGACATCCGGAAATTTCGTGAGTTTAGATCTAGTATTCAGGACGGGAAAGGTAATGCAGAGAAGTATGAAGAACATGGACATGAAGAGAGGTCTCAAAGACAGCGCCTCAACAACAGGTGCCCCGACAGTAGCATGGTTCGCAGCCATTGAGGCATCTGGAATAGTCTTGGCGTCCATGCCTATAGCTGCTGGCGATTGCAAGAGAAAAGTGCATAGGTACTTGCACGGTTTCCATCTGGCAGGGAACACTATTAACGATGGGAGCTTTGGTCGTCGAGAACGCGACCATGGAGTTTTGAATCGGCAGGGAAGTCCAAAGCCGTGACGGTCAAAGTTGAACGGAATTCAGGGACCCATTGCAGGACATGAACCTCCTTGTGGGGGGGTTAGGCTAAACGAGCCAGCTTTCAGGGCTTGCAGCCCAACGACTCTGCAAGGACGCCTTTCACAATCTTGTGAGAGGAATCTTTCGTGAGGAAACCCTTTCAAAAAGATCTGGCACGGTTTAATTGGGGATCTCGCAATGCTCTCAACGCCAATCATAGATGAGTCTGAGAAGGCTTCATAGGTGCTAGGATTTTTGCCTATGACGAATCTAGACGCTCACCGCTGAGGCTCTCTGCAAGACTAGTATGGTTGCTTTAGTGCTGTGATCTTTTCTGTTTTGGATGTCTCACGTAAATCGAACCAGAGTGTCGCTCTCTTCGATTCTGAATACCCGCTTCTGCAAACAAGGCCGATTTCATAACTAAGGCTGGTTTTGGAAGGGGGACCTGCAGGGCCGGGAGCTGTAATCCGAACTCCGGCTTCATCTCAATGACTCATGGCCTCTCGGATAAATTCTAGAGGTGACGTTTGCACATTTGCCAAATTCCCTCTCGCACTATAGCATTTTCCAGTCTCCGACCAATGTTTGTGCGTTTTTAACTCAGTAACACCTTAACATCAATTATCGTCGAACTATTTGCCCGTCGTTGTGATCATGGATTTATACATCCGACCACTATCAGTCAACGATCTTGATCGATGCGTTGCAGTGGAGGCCGCAGCCTTCCCCCCCGCCGAAGCAGCGACTCGCGAAAAGGCAAGTTGCTTTCCATATCGGCCTTCGTTGTTACGAACAAATTCATCATCAAGCTACATCTTATGACCCAGATCCCTGCCAATTCGTACATAAGTAGCCACCAGCACACATATTGCCGCAGTGTTCAGGGGCAAGGGCGCGCTTGCAAAGAAGGCCACCGAACATATCTAATTCGATTGTGCATTCAGATTGAATATCGACTGACGGTATGCCCTGAACTCTGCTTAGGATTATTTGTCCGTAAGGGCAAAAATAGCCCAGAGAGCGTTATCCGACAAGGGATCACCCCGGTCTACAGCCCATCCGAAACTTCGAGTCGTGATGAACTTATCGCACACACAATTTCCACCAAGTCAACCTCTTCTGTTGTCACAGACGAGGATATGGCTGTCCCATCTGCGTGGAAGATAGACCCGACCGCTACATACGACGTGGGGCATCGACCTGAAGGCAGAACTATCACTTTGCATTCACTGGCTGTCGCGCCCCATTTCCAGAAGTCGGGTTACGGCAAAACCCTCATGGCATACTACATCGAGCACATGATGCAAACGGCACAGGCAGAGAGAATTTCTATTCTCACTTACGACAGGCTGGTTTCGTATTATGAAAAGCTGGGCTTTACACACTATGGCAAGAGCCAATCCGAGTATGCTGGAGTAGCTTGGCACGATTTGGTATGGTCTCTCGAGGGCAATCATACAAGCTTCCTGCTGACGTTCTCCATGTAGGCTTACGTATTCAATATTGCGTGACCAACGTCGCGAAGACATTCCTAACGATCTGGAAGTCTTCAGTTTATACGTCCAAATTTCTCCTTGGCAGCTGGATCAAGCTCCGGCTTTTCATTCTGGGCCATATGCTAAACAGAAATTAGACGAGGGGTTTGATCAAAATAGTCTTATTTCTCTGGTCTCATTTTGGAAATCTACTCATTGTGTCTGGTAGAAACATTCTAACAAACTAGCGTCTTCTCTTTGGCGTCGGAGCATCGAAGCTAGGCTCTCCGCTGCAGAGGCGATGTGAGAAGAATGGTCTACTAGAAAGGCGTACCGCGGTCGCCTCATATGACTCTGATAGACCTGGTGATTCATCTCAGTACGGCTGATAGCGTTTTCATCGATGGTGGTGAACATGTCTGTTTTGCTTAACCGAATTAGTGTGAACACGTCTCGTGCAAAATCTTCAGTTGATTGTAGACAAAGTCTTGAATTACTATGTCACAGGCTCGTAGTACCAGCCAACTGGAACTAGGCTCAGGATTAAAGATTTCGCGTGTATCATGTATACAGTCCTCATCTGCCGGCTTGCCATAGTTTCGCAGCTGCCAAAAATAGCCAAAATGTCCAGCCGAAGGCATATCATTATCGGATAAGTTTCATAGCTCAGTTTCACGGAAGAAGTGCTGATAACCGTCGTCTTTGGTAAAATATGCATGCTTTTACACTTTTCTTAGCCCTAGACAACCTCGCAGGGGAGGTTGCGGATATCTGCTACCCATGGTTTGTTTAGCTGGCGTTCAAGAGCGAGTACCGCTAGAAAAGGAGTAGTAACTGGCAGCTATAGGTTGAGAATGAGATACTTTTTCTTCACATGAAGTATCATCAAGAAGTGGGAGGCCATTGATAGGTGCCAAACTTTTCTCCATACAGGTTCAAGCCTTGACGTCGGGTGCAATGTCATATCAATGGTTACTCCACGAAACTTATTCATATCACAAGCTATCGGTCAGACTTATATGCCACTCAGACTGCGTGTTGCCGCTATTCAGCCGACATCGTCAGTACTGATGCCATTCAATGTATACATAAGAACTATCAGTTCTGACAAAACTGAATACTGCCATGATGGTAGCTAATAATGAATGTTCTTCGAGTCGTGAGCTAGCCAATATCCAATCTATGTCATCATCACAAAGTGGGCATGGAAGCTCTTTTCCGAGTTCATCTCATTGGGCCAGAAGATACGTCAACTTCACCTTCGTAGGAAGTTCTTGCCAATATCTCCCTCAGATCGATGTTGTCAGTAAGCCACGACCCTACGTTTACCCAGAACATTTGGCGGCATCCGTCACCGCTAGAACCATGGAAACGACCTGCTGGGTGTATTCGCAAAAGTTGAAGTACCTTTGGCTGTCTTGTTGTTATACTAAACGCTCATCAAACGATGTGTTCCACGCAACATACGTATAGAAATGCTGTCATGTGGTACAGTAATACCCTCATGGCTGGAATTCTGATATATCTGAGCTTCATCCTCTTGTACCTGTTTGCTCCATGTCTTGCTCGGCCATGTAGTAAACTATGCAATACGTTCATCCCGTCGAGTTATTTGCGAGGCTCGGTTGGCATTATCCTAGCACTTGAGCATTGGAATTGTTGGGTCCAACATCTTGCTTTCAGGTTTTAGTGTGGCCACCGCTTCAGCTTGAGCTAGCTTGTACGCCTGAATATCGCACCCTGGCACTTGTGACTGGAGGCATGTTTAGCACCATACCTAGGCCTAAGTCACTGACAACCTACGTTCGAAACACGGTATCTAAAAACGTGTGGATGAAAATTCCATCTTGTTGAATCACGATGCTGGTGATTTCAGTCACAGAACCTAATATTGAGCTGGCAGCAACTGACCCAAGTAATCTCTCGCGCTCTGCAACATGGTCCTGAGTTGGAAGATTTCTTCACAAAACGTGTTTAAAGTCGTGTTGACTTGAATCAACAAATTCCTTGCAGAAGCTGTGTTATCTGCAATACCGGTCCAGGCTAACCGAAGATTCTTGTCCCTTACAAATCTGGCAAGGACACAACAACACTCTGGAAGTTTAATTTGGCCAATCGTGTCCAATAGAGAGAAAGGGTCATGACAAACGATCCGGCATTTCACTGGGCGACCTGATAAACCGCCAAAGACACGCCTAAGAACTCTGGGGCTTTGCTTCTCGATTGCAATCTGGCTACGGAGTACTCACCTCCGTAACATAGCTGGATTATCTTAAGAGTGCCTTATCCCAGCGCTGTGGTGTAGTGGCCCAGACACATTCGATGGCAAATTGCTCGGTGTTTCCAGTCAATGGCGGCGATCGTTCTAGAAGAAACGTAACTTTTACTTGGTAGTTGTTAATGTTACCCTAGCAAGTCTAGTATCTTGATTTTCATCCTCTGCGGAACGCGTCAATCGGGGAAGATGAGTGAACAGGGCTGCAAAGCACCGCAGTTAGACTGTCGCAACAACCATAATGATTGATGTTACTTACCATCCTAGTAACGATATCTTCCATCAGATGTCGACGAGTTTCATGTGTGTCGATAAGTGATGATCGTCCTGTTGTCTTATCCATCCCCCCACCCGATGTAACACTCACTTGACTCACCTACTCTTTGCAGACGACCCTGCTGCTGTTCCCTCCCTTTTAGGTAACGTTTTGTTGGCTAGGTCGCGAATCCAACTCATTCAGGATCAGAACGGCATGTGCCGCACATTTTGAGTGTCTTGATAAATGTAGGCTATTTCAACACCAGCATTTACCGACGAGATGATCGCCCGGGGTACTGCCGCGGCAGTCGTGTATTAGCAGGAATTGCCAGCATGAATACCATAGCATACATCACTTGTACGCTAAGTTCGATGGTGCTTGTTAAGACTGACTACGGAGTTTGGTAGCGAGACCGAATTAGGAGAACCATGTCACCAAAACAGCGCCAGCGACACTATAATACGACAGCAGGCAAGGGTAACAGAAGGGCTGGACTCCAGATTTGCGAGCTGATTTTCTGCTCGGAGGAGCACAGGAGCTTGTTGGGCAGCGCCTTCGCCTTACGGGATATCAGGTCGCATTGATAGAAGCAGATCGTCTGCTTGATCAGGTCTTCGTGGCCCCCACCAAAAGAGCGTTCCTACGTGTCTGTGGTGGCCAACTATCTGTGCGTTGGGGCGGCGTGGATTTAAATTGGGACCAGCGGACATTCATCCGTGACACCCGGGCTCCTCTTCAAGAACAAGGATCAAAATCTGACGCAATTCCTGGTCTTTTATCCGATCAAGAGCTGCGGGTCAGTCGCGAACTGTATGTACAAGTAGTCTGTCAGTCCTTGAGGCTCCTTGGCGTTGGTAAATGAAACCACCGGATCGCTGGTAGATTGGGAACTGGAGGCAATAGTGTGTATGGCATGGCTGGACATGCTCGTGGCTGTCAAAAGTAAGATGAAGAAATAAAGTTGCAATCTTGCCCCAATCGTAAAGACAATCTTCAAGGACCCTGCATCACCTCCTTGCGAGGGATGGAGAGGAAGCCAAAGAGTCAGTAGCGACCTGTCATGATTGTCTCAGAAACTAGCCGATTGCAAGCCACAATCCCACACGGTAGATGAAGAAGAAGCGTCAGAAGAAGCCGTAGAAGCAACAGCCACCACAAGAACCGCCCTAGAGGAAGCCCCATCATATGGTTGACTACGCCCGTAGACAGCTGTCAGTGTCAGAAGGGAGGCGCAAAGGGCCGGCTGGCTTGGTCCGGGTGGTCTCCCCTAAATGGGACGCCGATGACACCGTAATACGAGTGGAGATGGTCTGAGACAATCAGTTCCCTATTGCAGAATAGCATCGGCTTCAGTCCGCATCGTTGGGGGTGACACTTTTGTTCCTCCTTCTAGTGTAGTGTAGCATCTCCCAAACTTCCAGCCAGTCGCAGAAGAGAACTCGGTTGGGCGTGGCTTTGTGCTCTTTTGTGTTCCCATGGCCATGTCATCCATCATGTCCGCACAGTCACCCAATGCTGTCTGTGCGAAGGTCCCAGTGAAATTCCAACCTCCACAGCTTGGGTAGCAGATTGCCACGACTCCTTATTACTTTCAAGCCTCAACGCCCAACTTGCATTACTCCGGCAATGTCCGCCTCCGGCCGCCGGCCGTTCTGCTTACTGCTTTTGTCGATAGTCAACGCGTTTGGCGTGAGCCGGGCGGAGCAGTGCCGTCAGACAATTGAGGGGTGGTTCCATGTCGCCAAAGCAGGCAGGATCAAGTGAGAAAAAAGTGGTGCCATGTTGGGTGAGATTCTGAATTGAGCTCGCTTCTGCATGGGCTGCAGAACACCAGCACAGCACAGTCGCAATTATGCACGCGAGGATACGGATACTCTGAGGAAATTTCCCGTTCTCCTTCCCCAGCGCCGACAACCTTGAAATCAATACCTTGCTACTACGGTCCAGAAGGACTGGGTGCTGTACAGTAGTATTGTACATAGTATGGTCAAGTCCCAACCCGGAAAGACATTTGCCGATGAGATGGATTTACGGTTAGAAGTGCAGAGAAAGTTTCCTCTTGCCCGAATCCATCAATTTAGCCCTCTGGAAACAAAATGGCAGGTCAAGGTTCAGCATTGCATCCATGCACGCGTGCCAGTGCCATTCGCCATCGTAACTTTTCCGAAAGCAGGCGATTATCATCGAGATGGCCCCCAACTCTTCCCAATCCTCCATCGCGGTGGATTTCGTTCCCTGCCACACCTCGTGGGAAGCTGGTCAGGGACAGCAAGGCATCGGAGTTGTGTTTGAGGAGCGGCCCATTGTCACCCTACCACGACAGGACCCCTGAATCTCTTTCACCATCTCGCGACTCTTGGCGAAGGGAACCCCCCGAGGTTCAAGAGTCTTCAATCTCTTCGGAACTAATGCGGGGGAAGGATTCCAGACAGTGGACTCTTCGGCCGGTAGCTGGATACGGCCATTCCACCGGCTACT